AAGTCAATAAGGAAACACTGAATATGACTTCACTTAAGACTAAATGGACCGAACAGACAGGCACAAAACATTCCATTCAGCAGCAGCAGCAGCAGAATATACACTCCTCTCAAACCCACACGGAACATTCTGCAGGATAGATCATAGTTTAGGTCACAAAATAAGTCTTAAGATTTTTAAGAAGATTGATAACACATCAAACATCTTTTCTAGCCACAATAGTATGAAACTAGAAATTAATAAGAAAAAGAATGTTGCATAATTCAAAAACATGTAGAAATTAAACAGTGCACTCCTGAGCAAATGGGCCAAACCAGAAATCAAAAATCTTGAGATAAATGAAAATGTAAACACAATATATTAAAATATAAAATGCAGTAAAAGCTATTCTAAGAAGAGAGGTTATAATGATAATTCCTACATTAAAAAAAGATCTCAAATGACCTAACTTTTACCTCAGAGAACAAGAAGATGAACAAACTAAACCCAAAGTTAGCAGAAGGAAGAAAATAATATATTTTAGCAGAATAAAATAGACACTAGAAAAACAATAGGAAAGATAAACAAAACTAAGACCTAGTATTATTTTTTTGTTTTTGTTTTTTTTTGAAAAGATAGATAAAACTGAAAAACCTCCAGTCAGACTAAGAAAAAAAGAGAGAAGATACAAATAAATAAAATCAGAAATGAAAGAGGAAATATTACAACTGACACCATAAAAACACTAAGGATTATATGAAACTATGAATAATTATTCACCAACAAATTAGATATCCTAGAAGAAATGGATAAATTTCTAGAAACATACAACCTATCAAAACTGAATCATGAAGAAATAGAAAATCTGAACAGAATAATTACTAGTGAGAAAGTTGAATAAGTAATCAAAAGTCTCCCAAGAAAGAAAAATCCAGGACCATATGGCTTCACTGGTGAATTCCACTGAACATTTATATATCCTTATCAAACTCTTCCAAAAAATAGAAGAGTAGGGAACACTTCCAAACTCATTTTAGTAGCCAGCACCATCCTCATACCAAAGCCAAATAGAGACAATACAAGAAAAAATACTAGCCAATATCCTTGATAAACATAGATGAAAAAATCCTCAACAACATATTAGCAGACCAAACTACCCAAAAAAGAAATTAAGAAAACAAACTCATTTGCAATAGCATTGAAAAGAACTAAATACTTAGAAATAAATTTAATCAAAGAGGTGAAAGACCTGTACACTGAAAACTAAGACACTGATGACAGAAATTGAAGAAGGCACAAACAAATGAAAAGATATCCCATGTTCACAGATAGGAAGAATTAATATTGTTAAAATATGCACACTACTCAAAGTCATTTATAGATTTTATACAATCCCTGTCAAAATTCCAATGGCATTTTTCATAGAAATTTAAAAAATAATCTCTAAATCCCTGTGGATACACAAAATATTCTGAATACTAAAGCAATCCTGAACAAGAAGAACAAAGCTGGAGGCATCTCATCTGCTGATTTCAAATAAAATTATAAACCTATAGTAAATAAAACACTATGGTACTGGCATAAAAACAGACATGTAGATCAATGAAACAGAATAGAGAGTCTGCAAATAAACTCATGCATATACTGCCAACTAAACTTCAATAGAGAAAAGATAATTTCTTCAATAAATGGTGTTGGGAAAACTGGATATTCACATGCAAAAGAATGAAACCGGACCCTATCTCAAACCATACACAAAAATCAACTCAAAATGGATGAAAAACTTAAATATAAGGCCTGAAACTAAAACTCCTAGAAGAAAACATAGGGAGAAAGTTTCTTGACATTGATCTTAGCAGTGTTTATTTTTAATTTGACACCAAAAGCAAAAATAAACAAGTAAGTACCTTTTTTTTCCATTGGTACAACATCTTAGCAAGGCAATGGTAGTGCCAGCTATTCTTCAGGTTTTTCTAGGCTACTCAAGGACAACAAGATGAAAGATGCCCTCAGAAAGTCAGCCAAGAAAGACAAAGACCTAGTAAACAAATCTAGGGGCAAGGCCAAAAAGAAGTGGTCCAAAGGCAAACTTCAGGACAAGTTCAATAATATAGTCTTATTTAACTAAGCAATATATGGCAAACTCTGTAAGGAAGGTTTCAACCTCAAGTTTATAACCCCAGCTATTGTCTCTGAAAGACTGAAGAACCGAGGCTCCTTGGGCAGGGCAGCCCTTCAGGCACTCCTTAGTAAAGGACTTATTCAACTAGTTTCAAAGCATAGAGCTCAAGTAATTTACACCAGAAACACCAAGGGTGAGGATGCCCCAGCTTCTGGTAAAGATACATAAACAACAGGTCCCACCAGCTGTACATTTTGAAAAATAAAACTTCATTTAAAAAAAACTACAGCAAACTAAAATGTTACTGCACAGCAAAAGAAATAATCAGCAACATGAAAAGACAAACTATGGCATGGGAGAAAATATCTGCCAACCATACATCCAATAAAGGGTTAATATTCAAAATATATAAGGAATTCATGCAACTCAAAAGCAAAAATCAAATACCCTAATTTAAAAAATGGGCAAAGGGCCTAAATAGATATTTACTCGAAGAAGACATACAGCTGGCCAATAGGTACATGAAAAGGTGCTCAACATCTTTAACCACCTGGGAAATGCACCAGGGAAATGAGATAGACCCTCACTATTGAGTAGGATGTCTATTATCAAAATGACAGAAAATAGCAAGTGTTAGCCAGAACGTGAAGAAACTGGAACCCTCATAAACTGCTTGTAGAAATGTAAAATGGGGCAGTCACTTTGGAAAACAGGATCGCTGTTCCTCAAAATGTTAAACAGAGTTACTATATGACCCAGAAATTCCACTCCCAGGTATATATGCAAGGGAATTGAAAATATATGTTCACACCAAAACCCAAAAATGAGCAGGGCAACATTATTCATAACAGCCAAAAAAGTGGAAACAACCCAAAGGTCTATCAACTTGCAAATGGATAAACAAAAATATGATATATGCATACATTAGAATTTTATTCAGCCATAAAAAAAGAAGTAAGTGCTGATACATGCATAACACGATGGACCTTGAAAACACATTAAATGGAAGAATTCAGACACAAAAGCCACGTAATTTATGGCTCTATTCTATGAAATACTCAGTATAAACAGGCAAATCATAGAGACAGGAATTAGATTCGTGGCTTCCAGGGGTGTGGCAGAAGGAAGAGTGCCTGTGGGTAGAGTTTCTATCTGTGGTAAAGAACATGTTCTGGCATTAGACGGTGGTGATGGTGGTACAACTTTGTAAGTAGACTAAAACCCACAAAAATGTACTTGTTAAAGGGATGAATTTTACGTTGTGTGAATTATATTTCCATTTTCTTAGAAGTCTGCCTATTGCATCTGATACATGGCTAAGAAAGGCTGAGTACCTGAGGGCTAGAAGTGGACATCACCTCATAACTCCAGTCTCTCTGCTGTGGCCTTAGTGCCAGTCACCTATGAAATGCACTGTTGTGGCAGCCTCCGTCTCTCATGCCCAAACCCAGCCTCAATCATGTCACTCACTGTCCACCCATATTATATGCCTTTTTACTTTGTGTATTTCTTATATTTTACCATCTGATCCTAGAGACTGCCCCTCCCTTAGCTCCCCAATTCCTAAAGTCTATAAAGGACTGCCATGCAAGTATGCCTTCCACATGCAAACCAACCAACTCGAAGCCCAATCCCAACCACCCCTTGTATCTAGTTCTCACTGTCTGGGCCACTATCCACCTGCCTAATCGCCCCAGGGCCAGGTATCAGACAACTGGAGGCAGCACCTATACCCCAAAGCCTGCTGAAATTACTCAGACTAGCCACACCTAAGCCTGCTTCCCCTGCCCTGCCTCGCCTTTCCCACAGAACCCACAACAGGGGCCCTGGCCCACATTTCCCTTTACTCACTCTGCCTCCTGACCGAGCCTGGTGCTTCCCAGTGTGGCCCTGAGTTCACGCCTGCTCTCTGAGGTTTCTAGGAATCTGGGAGTAAAAACTTCTTCCTGCAAGACAGTCATTTCCATGTCTGCATGTTTCACCGGACCTGATTAAAGCCACCCTGAGTACATATTAAAACACCACCCTTCTGCCCTGACCAGTGTGGTTCAATGGGTGATAGTTATCCTGCAAACCAAAAGGACACCTTTTTGATTCCCGGTCAGAGCACATGCCTAGGTTGCAGGCCAGGTCTTCAGTTGGGGTCATGAGAGAAACCACTGATTGATGTTCTCTCACACATCGATGTTTCTCTCCCTCTCTCCCTCCCTTCCCCTCTCTCTAAAAATAAATAAATAAAATATTAAAAAAAAAAAACACCGCACTTCCATCCTGGCTACACCTTCCCTTCCTCATCACCCCAGTGACACCCTCCAAGCTTTGCAGCCACCCCACACATCTCTGGCTTCCTAAGCACACCACATTCCTTTGCCACCATTCCTTCACACATGCTGGGTACTCCAAACACATTCCCCTGTCACCCTGCTTTTACACATGACTTTGCCTAGAGCGTCCTCTGCTGTCTCTGTGCCTCAGCTATTGCTACACCACCATCAACCTTCACTTGGCAACGCTGCATGGAACACTCTCCATCAGAGCCCTTAGCTCGTGTGTCTATCCCTGCCTGCCTGGTGAGTTCCTTCAGGATATCACCATGATCCCTCCCCTCTGGATCCCCAGAGCTTGGCACAGAGCCAGAAAATTATTTGTAACTCAGGAAATGTAGGGTTTTCTATTTTAGTAGAAGAAATCTCCTCTACAGGGAAGTAAGCTTCTTGAGGGTGCCGCCCTTACCCTCTGGGTCCTTAGCAGGACCAGGCGCACAGCTGGCCCTGGGTAAAGGCTTCTGGGCTGAGTGAGAGAAGTGGAACGATGATGGCTGAGCAGATAAACAAGTGGGAGGAGGGCGAGGGGGGAAGGCAGGCTGGTCTCTGGACCATGAGGACCAAGCTCTACTCACACTGTTCTTCCCACTCACGTTCCTCTTTCTCACTGGCTTGGCTCTGTAGCTGGGCCTGCTTCAGTGTCCAGTAGAGTTCCTTTGCCCTCTGCTCCTCCTGTAGACGAATCTGCTCTTCTCCTCGCTTCCTCTCCTCTTCCTCTTTCCTCTAAAATATAGTGGGGATAGAATAACATTAGGTGACAGTGACACTCCCTGAGGGAGGAGAAGTGCCTCTGATTCTGCAGAGGGAACAGCTGAGCTGTTGTGCGGTGGGTGGACCAGCAGTGGCCATTCCAGTCAACATCAACACACTTGAAATGGCAATTGTTACACCCAATCAGGCTGTGGCAGGGGTCAAATGGGTTGAAATATGAGGAACAACTTGTAAACTCAAGCTTTCTGCAAAGATAAGTGGATGCTGGGCCATCCTTGGCCACACTTCCATTCTGGGGAAAGGAGGAAAAGGGGTACCTGGTCTTCCCAGAGGCCAGTTAAGCAAGATATGATCAGGTCTTAACCTGATGTCCAGATAAGATATTACAAAGAAATAGCAGGTTTGGGCCCCCAAATCTCTAATTTTTGCCCCATTTTTAAGCTCCAGAAAGGTTGTGTGTTTGTGTATGTGTGTGTTTTCCTCCACCTCTGTTTACATCAAAGTAACATGCATATGCTAAAATGTTCGTAAGCCCAAGGCTTCTTATAAAAAACAAGAATTCTCAAAGCTACTTGATTACCACTGAGCCCACCCCAGTCCATTCCCAAAGGCACCGTTTCAATTGTTCCAGCTGTTCCTTCATGTGCTTACATCTATGTCTGAATAATGCTGCTATTCTTGAGTTATCAATTCTAGACATTAACTACTGCCTTTCTTTTTTGTTACATGAGTATTAAGCACCTATATTTTCACTTATATACTTTTCCTCTCCTCATCTGCACAATAAATTATACCACAGTTTGTGGTTAAGTCAGTAATCAGTGTAAACACAGTTCACAGCAAAGACAAATAGGGTGATATTTCCACCAATTTCAACTAGTACATTTTTTAACTTTCTAAGATAGGTCTCTGAAATATTGGCATGTTAAAGCTTGCATTTTCACAAGAAGGGGCTGAAAAGAAGTATTCCAAGTCATGAAATCCAAAGACCTACATCCAAGATTGATCTATCCAGCAAAGTTTTCATTTAGAATGGAAGGACAGATAAAGTGCTTCTCAGATAAGATCAAATTCAAGGAGTTCATCATTACCAAGCCCTTATTATATGAAACGTTAAAGGAACTTACCTAAGAAAAAGAAGATAAAAAAGGTGAACAGTGAAAGGACAGCAAACTCAGTTATTAACAACCACACCTAAAACAAAAGCAAATTAAGAGGACAGCTAGATCAGGAGTGGAAACATAGAAATGAAGATCTCATGGAGGGTTAGCAATAGGGGAATGGGAGGAGGAGAAGGGGGAGAAGGTACAGAAAATAAGTAGCATAGATGGTAGGTAGAAAATAGATGGGGGGGGCAAGAATAGTATGGGAAATATAGAATCTAAAGAACTTGAGACACGTGGTCATAAACTAAAGGGGGAGAATGGTAGGGGAAGGGGTGTGCAGGGTGGAGGGGAATGAAGGGGGGGAATAGAACAACTGTAATGGCATAATTAATAAAATATTTTTTTTTAAAAAAACTTGCCTTTTCAATAGGCAACAGTTTTTTTCTTTTTTCTTAAAATAATGATACATTTTATAATTAATGGAACCTTAAGTTTAATAAAATATAATAATATGATGACTTCTTTCAAGTATTTTTCTTAAGTTAATAATTGTTTTATGTTGAAGTTGAATATTAACTGTTCCCAAACTTCTTTAATATCTGTAAGGAATCTTTCTCTGTGTTTAATCAAGTGCTTTTTATTATAACAGATAATAGAGCAGTTATCTTTTCCCAAGAGATACCCCTGCCCTCAGACACAATCTTACCTTCTTCTCTGATCTCAGTGGGTCTGTCTAGGTCTCCTGACCATCCATCCATCCACCACCCTCACCTCTCAGCCTTTCCTGAGTTGGAGCCCTTGATTTGTTGTTCTAAGTTTTCTTTTTTGGCCACTTCCTCATTTTGTAGTATTTCTCAGGTAAATATGCACAAAGAAACACTTTCTGAGTCTTGTCTGAAAACATCTATATATGCTACCCTCACATATAACTGCTAATTTAGCTAAGCTCATAGAATTTGATTAATACTCATTTCTTGCAGAATTTGGAAGACTATACCTTCTTGCCTTCTTGCCTTCTAGCATCTAGAACTGCAAGTAGTATTCTCATTCTTCTGTGTAAGGCAATAATTTTTTTATCACTGATGTTTTGAAATTTTTTAAAATTATGTGCCTTGGTTTGGATTTTCTTTCATTGACTCTGTTGGATATTCAAGGTGCACTCACCCAGGAGTCTCAGGTCCTTCCAGTCTAATACATCTTGGCTTAGGATTTCTTGCACAATTTCTTCTCTCATTTCTCTTTTTGCTTTCTAGAACTTCTACTATTCAAAAACTGGACTTCCTGAGTTGATCTTCTAAGTGCCTTATCATTTCTCTCTTATTTTCCATCTCTTGTCTTCTTGGTTCTATTTCCTGGTTGATTTCACTGACTTTATCTTCCATACCTTCTACTGAATTTTTTATTTCAGCTCTTGCATTTGCACCTCCCTAGAGCTCTTATTCTTTGGTTGTTCCCTTTTGCTTCATTGCATCCTGTACTTGTTTCATAAATGCAATAGCCCACCTCTAAGGGCTTTAGAGCTCTTTCATCCTCATATTCTGATTTAGGCCTATTCCATCTATTTTGGGTTTTTTGCTTTTTGGGTTTTTTTTTAAGTTTGTTTCATTTAGTGCTTGTCATTCATGGTAGAGGCCTTCCTCAGATGTCCGATGCTCCCTGACTGTTCATATTCAAGAGGGAAAATACATATCCGAATGGGAGGCTCGGCATGTGTAGTAGACAGGGCTTCCTGGAGAGGTGAGCTTCACTCTAAGGTAAATGGGTGAAGAACCAGCCATTTCACTAAGGAAACCTTGAGTGCAAGAATCCCGGGTTCCTTTCTCTGAGATTATTCAGTGTTTATTCCATCTTACTCGGGTGAGGTCTGACCACCAGCATTCCAGGAGTCTAGGTTAAAGGCAGGTTGCAGGCAGGAGAGCCTTCAGACCCAAGCTAGCAGGACCCTTCATGGGAACACAATGCTTCGAAGTGCCTTCTTTGCAAATTTCCCCCAAGTCCCACCAGGAATGGCCAGGAAGAGTACTCTAGGATTGGCAGGCACAGCAGTTCCACACAGGTAAGGTGTCCCAGACCTGTACTGCATGAACCTAGTCCCTGTTACTCCCCTTCAGGGTGCTCACTGGCTCTCTCCTCCATGAAGAGGGTTAACCAAATGCCCCAAGGAACTAGAACTCATGTTTATGGAGTCATCCTGGGGCCCAGGGGCCAGGCCATGGTACTGTAAAGGTGGCATAGCAAGCGAATGAATCCAACTCACCAGCAGAGCATTTTCATCACAGGATCAGAGAAGATTGAGTCACCAGAATGGAGTTAACAGGCTGATTTTATGTGGCTCAAGCTGTTAATTTGTTATAGAAAAAAACACCACAAAAAATACTAACTGACCCCATGCACCCTAAGAGGAACCCTGGCTCCAGGTGCCACTGTTCAGAGTTCAGGCCTTTACTTAATCCTCCTGTTTCAAAACTTCCCCTCCCATGCTCTCTTTCCTTGACTTGACACACTGAGCCCTAAACCTTTTCCTTAACTCCCCACCTCCTTCTGGTCAGAGGGAGTATGCAGTCGCTTGGAAGGAGCAGTGTGCACAGAATTAAGTGATAGAATCTAGGAAGCTACTTTAGACTACATGACCAGCAGTCCTCTCAGAAGAGGTGACATGATCGGAGACCTGAACAATAAGAAGAGGCAAATAAGTGAAGATCAGAAAGAAGAAATTTCCAGAAGGAACCACAAGTGCAATGGCCCCAGAAATGCAAATGTGTTTGGCATGTTGGAGTATGTAGAATTATCCATTGTGGCTGGAAGAAAAAAATGTCAAAATTCTATTTTTGATGAGTTATACATGTCAAGAGGCCTGCTATTAGCAGTGGTATGTGTGAGCCTGGGGCTTCAAGGCAAGTTCAGGCTGCAGACACTGAGAAGTCATCTGTGTGGGATATGCTTCTCAGCCACGGCACTTAATGTAGTCACTAAGAGAAATAACATGGATCAAATGGAGGAGTGAGTGTCTTGGGGCACTCCTCCATTTAAAACTTGAGAGAAAGAATGGGAGTCAGAAAGGAACTTGAGAAGGAGCCAAGGGATAAGATAAAAATCCAGAAGGGCCAATGTCTGTAGGGGAAGCCAGGCGAAGAAAGCATTTCGAGTAAAAGGAAGTAAACTGAGTTTCAGGTTGCTGAGACCTCATAAAAGATAAGGACAGCAAAGCCACAAGGGACTTAGGGATGAGGCCACAGGACGTGATGGCAGACCTTGACAAGAGCAACCATAGAGGAGTGGATGGGCAGTGTCCAGGAAGCAAGGGCAGAGAGTGGAAGTGACCACAGACAACCCTTTTGACATTTCCTATAAAAACGAACAGAAACAGGAGGTGGCAGCTAGTAGGGAATGTGGACTTAAGCTGGAAATGGGGGGGAGTTGGTTGGTTTTAAGATGGGAAATAACCAGAACAGAGCATTACCTACTAACACAAAAATTAGAACCAGAATCTGATTACAAAGCAGAGAAAGTTGAGCTTTATCCCAAAGCTGTATTTCACCTTCATTAGTCACTAGCATCTCAATAGCACAAAAATCACCCTTCACACTGATACAACACTTCACAGTTTGTACAGAGGGTTTTCCATTCCTCTCCGGGGCTCCCTAAGCTCTGACCACAGTCACTGCCTCCTTCACTCAATACACAGGTCACTGACCAAGACAGCTTCCACCCAGGTATTTCAGATCTATCACCTGCCCATGGGGGTCTTTCTTGCAGGTGCAGGTTTCAAGGAAAGTGCAGATAGGACAGGCCTGTCAGAGCCAGAGAGGCTTCAATGTCCTGGCACCACTCCCTCATACAGATAAGGGGTGTAGAGATAAAGCTGCCAAAACAAAGTGCCATAGACCAGAGGGCTTAAACAACAGA